TATATGAAAGTAGCTGTTTCAGGAGGACTTTCTTTCAGTTTGTGTCTGAAAGTTACTTCTTTGCATGATCTACAATTTTTGAAATTGATCGCTTCCTTCATTTCTTTGGAAGATTCCCATTTTTTTTTGTATCAAGATGGAGTAGTCGAAAGCCAAAAACTTTCTTTCCCAAAAATTCATCACTCCTAAAAATAAAACCCCTTCAATTCAAATTATTTATAACTTTTGCACTTTTTACAAGAGGCACTTGAATTTTTTCAAAAATCATCTACACGCTATTCCGACTCAAATGACACCTCGTTCATATTTTTCGGAGGCGGAGAACAAAGTTTAACTTGTTGATCAGAGTGTTGTCTGATATGTACTGTTGAAGTAGAGATCCAAATAAAGGTTATTCCAATTTTACTGATTACTGCCAGAAAACATATTTGATTTGACATCAACTTAACTGAAACTTTGATTTGCTTGTAGATTCGTTAAACTCTAAACAAAATTCACACTTATTTATACAGATATGCCACCTTTGTCACTACATACTTTTTATTTCGTTAAACGCAAACCAATAACTTTCTTGAATATACATTTCTAATATTTATTTGTCATTCCTCTTGATATTTCATGTATAAATGAGGTTATGGCGAGTGATCTGAAACAATCCAATAGTTAAAATATTCGTTGAACAAAACCAATACTTGTTTTTGGATGATCGATTTCTTTAACTTGTTACGATGGAATGTAGTTATTCGCCTGCAAATTGTATAGTCATTAAAAATAAGAAAATTAAAGAGATCTGTTTTTATTACCTTTCTGAGTTTTTACAAATTACTTCACTCATTAAAAAATGTCCTCATAGTCAGCTAGTATTTCCGAAATTGATCTTAGCCTTAATTTTCCATGTTCTGAAAATGAAAATTAATAATTAGAAATAAGACTTTATGCAGAAAAATTAGAAAATTCCATATTGGAGAGTATGCAAGTGCTCAGGGATGGACAACAAAAGAATGCTTAGAGAAAAAACAAGTCATATGACAAAGAAAAGTCATCAGGAGGACATTTAATAATTCCACCTTCCTTTTCATTAGTTATTTGACAGTCGTTGGCAAAAATTGATAGTGTGGTGTCATGCAAGGGAATTTTCGAGATTTTATTGTAAGTAAACGATTTAAAGGGTTTCAAAATAGTGTTTAAAGTACCAGTGAACGTAAGGACAACAATCGCGATGGATAAAACGTTCAAAAATTCGTGTACCTGGTCAAAATATTCATTTTTCGTACGATGCTTCAACGTGATCAGCAAGACCCTGTCTACCATTTCATTAGCACTTCTTGGCTGGATATTTTACAACATTCGGGAGAGGTTTTTCTTCAAAGTCGTGCGTTGAAATCTTTCCCATTACAAGTATTTTTACCGGATCATTCATCCGCCCTTCATAGTTTACTTTCGAAAATATTCACTTTTTTAGTACTTTTCTAACATTCCATATTCCAACAGATTTGTTTCCTTACACTAATGGAGTCGCTCCATTGGCGCCCCTCGATACGAAATTAACCAACTTTAAATATTAATTTAACTTTTGAAAATTCACGAAATACCCCCAAAAATAAGTTGTATATTCTAGATTTTATTTCTACTATACATTTCCAATTCAAATGAGAACAAATTCCTCGTGAAACAATAAGAGCGGTATTGATTTTCACCCCTTTTGATTCGAATTCCTCCGCCACTGTATACGAATGACGTAAACGAACTTGGTACCTCGGTTGCCATATTGAATTTTTCACCCTGTTAGGCGCCTGCGTGGAGTGTGCGCAGTGCGTATTATTACCTGTTTCTCTTTTCCGTATAAAACTATCGGTGTTTATATGAAGAAATATGTGATATTTAATAAAATTTGTGTATAAAATATAATATAAAATATTCGTTTCTCATCTTCTAACGATAATCATGTTAAATAGTTCACCATTCTAGTGAAATTTTCGAACACTTGGTTCACAGCGACATCTTTCGTTTACATTTGGAGCCACATCGAGAAAAGCTTAGACCAGCATCAGTTTTGTGAACGAAAATTGCATATTGTATTAAATCAAAGTGTTTGCAGTGCCGATTATAAATATTCCGTGTTTAAATTAATATCTGTGAAAATTCGAGTAGTTTTGTATATCAAGTGGTAAAAGTGTAGTGTAGTAAAAAATTATATTTGCAAGTTGTCATGGCGGCTGAATAATCGACCAATAGGAGAGCTTGATACATCGGTTGTTAGGTGTTCTTTTTCGCTTTGGGATACGCGTCATTCTACTATTTCGTGCATATTTTAGTGAAATCAGTGATTTTTCACCCTTTGATGGCGAAAGATGATGAGCATTGAGGACGAAAAAACAAATACACCCTGAAAATCAAATTCCAGTCGTGTAAAAATGCGTTTTCTGTTGTTTGTCACGTGACCTACCCGATTATTATGGCGAAAAGAGCGGACAACGACCATGAACCGTTTTAAGTAAAATTTTGACATTCCTATTGTATACAAGTTTGTTTTCATAATCTACCACGTGCATTTTGAATAGTGATTGACAGTTGACCAAGAATATGTCAACAAGAGGTATGAAAAAGAGGGGGCGTCCCCCTAAGGTTCAGGTTGCAGAAAGAACTAAGAAATTTCAGTATCATCTTCTCAAAAAACCGACATATTTATTAAATAATAAAGCATCTGAATCACAGTCGAGTACGCCAACAGCTTCAAGACCTTCTTCCCCACATGAAAGTGAGTCCAGCAGACGTAGTAGTACTAGAATAAGGGGAAAAGATGGCCACAGAGCTGGTCGAAAGTCTGGTTATGCTGGTTCTGCTTACCAGCGTAGAGGAAATAATACATCTCACAATGATTATCACGACTCCGAATACCACTACGGGTCAGATTTTGGAGATGATTCGAGTGACAACAAAAGTGACATGGAAGATGAGCTGGGACTCTCCGAAAGCGAATCGGAGGGTTCTGTTGGAGGCCCTAGCAGCGACAGCGACTTCTCGTTGAGCAGCTTCAGTACGATGAGTGGCACTCCAAGAAAAGGATTGAATGTAAATAGAGCACCCACTCCAGACCCGCCGTTGTGGCTACAAAACCGGGAAATACCTTCCTTAATGTTACCAAAGTCGTCTGACGATTTGTTGGTACCTAAAGAAAGAATTATGGAAGTTGTCAGTATTTATGAAGTATTGAGACATTTCAGAAACCTTGTAAGGTTATCACCTTTCAGACTAGAAGATTTCTGTGCGACTTTAATGTGCGAAGATCAAAGTAGTTTGTTGGCGGAGATCCACATTATGCTCCTGAAAGCTTTGTTGAGGGAAGAAGACTCCCAACAAACCCATTTTGGGCCGCTAGATCAGAAAGACAGTGTTAATATATCATTATATGTTATTGACTATATAACGTATCCGGAAGTTTTGAGGGCCTACGTTGAGAGCGATAAAAGCTTCGATCCCCAAGTGCTGGAAGTTTTGTCTACTACCGATTATCCATTTTCAACGCTGGAAGACAGAATCAAAGTTCTACAGTTTCTTACAGATCAGTTCCTCACTACAAATCCTGTTCGTGAAGATCTATTGAGTGAAGGTATTTCAAGCTTATTTATTTAAAATATTGAGTTGTTTCCCTTGTTCAGTTTGAAGTGATAATAGCTTTGCAGTTTGATTAAGATTTCCAACAGTTTTCTAAAGCTTGTTGAGATATTTGTGAACCACCCATAGTCTATATGAAATTTTGTTCAATTTGTTAGCTATACAATCAATATGTTTGTTCCATTTCGAAAATTCGTCAATATGGAGTCTTAAAAACAATAATTTTTACAAAGTAATTAACAAATTTACACGTATGTAGTATGACTGTCAGCTAGATGCAAGAAAAAAAAGCCAAAAACGAGCCAATCAATTAAAATCTCTTCGGTCTTTTTGAAGGGTTCCAAGTTCTAAATCCTCGTTGTAAGTGTTCTCAAGTTTTAAAATCCTAACTATAGACTCATTCTGGCCGTAGTTGGTATGATAAAAGGGTACTTTGAAGATTTCTGTATTTCTTGTTCTCTTTGGATTCCTATTTAAAGCCTATTAGATATTCACAAAAGAGCCCAAGCAATCTAGTTTACACGATCATGATACACGTAACAGCAATTTTATTAGACCTCAACGTTACAGGCTGATGAAATCGCAAAAAAAACTCTTATGATTTTAAATTGTATAATGCACTTCCTGCCAATATTAAAAATATGAATGTGTTTTTCAAAGACAGGCACGGTCACACCCAGAACGTTCAACATGGAAGACTTGCGCCGAAAGAGCTTGGGAATTCTGAGTCGCGACGATAATGAGCGCGACGAATCTCGAATGACGCGGCTGAAATCCAGTCAGATGGCCAGCGGCACTTACCTCTTCAAACTCGGGATGGAGAACTCGTTCAAGCTGTACGTGAACCAGTTCACCACGAACGTCATCGCTCTGAACAAACCGCAGCGTAACGAAGAACGGGACAAGAAGCGGCATTTGTCGCACAAGTTCTCTTTGACGCCCGCGTCCGAATTCAAATGGGTCGGTACTCTCAGCGGAAGCAGGACGCTGATCATGAACACCCTGCGTCACACCATCTTGCAACTCGAACAGCAGATTCCCTCGCCGTTCATGCATCCCAACTGGCACCTGCTGCGCAAGCATTGGCTGACGATCGTCGGCAGTTGTCAGCAGCCTAAAGATTTCGCCAGGGTGTTGGTCGTGCTTCAAGCTTGCATTAAACCGGTGGTGTTCGCTACCGTATGGCACGAACAGTTGGGACATACGCGACTGTCCAGGATAACTGCTACCGAGAGAGAAGAACGCAAAAAGATTGAGAAACGCGAGAAGAAGGAGCGTGAGGAGGAGGAGGAACGGAACCGCATGATAGTCAGCGGATACGTCAAATATACCATGAGTTTCAAGCATCAGTTGTGGAAGCAGAAAGGGGAGGAGTACAGGATACACGGCAGATGGGGCTGGCTCTGGATTCGCATCCCGAGAAACTTCCAGCACGTTAATTCGAGAGAAATGGGTCTGGCTGCTCCTCCGCAGAAGATGATGCTGCAGATCAAAGATGGCGCCGGAAACAAAGTACTTGCCCTCGATTCCCACATGTACGAGTTCTTAATGTCCAGACTGAAAGATGGTAAAGTGAGAGAAGACGCCGATGACGTCCCCGCCGCTTTGAGGAACATCGAAATTTCTCTTCCTCCCAAACATTTCGAGGAAATAAACGTCAGTAAAGCTCTGCTGACTCCCGGCCGTTTGCTCTATCCGAAGGTCGCTAAAAAATGTAAACTGGATAATTTACTAGCTAGACGTGTTCAGCTGAAAATTCTGGAGGAGAGGAAAATTTCTCTGGCCAAGACGGAGGAGGTTCTGAAAGAAGAAGACGTGATAGACGTGGAGGCGGAAGATGAAGCGAACGCGGAAGGTTTAGATAAACAGCTCAACAATATGATGAGCGGAAAGGTCACGCTGCCTAATAACGCTCAGATCCAACCGAATCGGGAAGTGCTCAACTCGATTGCTAAGAGAATACACGCGCTTCGCATCCATTACAATACGATAATCAAACTGGCAAAGGGTTCCCAGTGTTACAGCAAAGGTTGCAACTCCAGTAACAACACCGAGAACACTTGCTATTCCCCGATGTGCATTCAAAGGGTAAAGGTGCGGAAGGATCTCCTATACTTGTTGGGCAAAGCTAATCTTGCCACGAATTCAGCAGTCAAATTGCCCATAATTCAAACTGTCAACACACCCACCAAAAAACCTCCTGTATTGGAACAGAAGCCTCCTTCTATATTGGAACAAACTTTGAAGTCGCCCCAACAGCCGTCGGTTGCGAAGGAAAGGGAGTCCGTCGTCATCCCGACGAAAGAGAGCATTTGTAAGGATTTGGTCAACGCGGTATTGGTGGCTACCAAGCTCGAGGACGAAGGCGACGCCTTTGTGCCTGTTAAAGAATATGAGGTGAAGCTAGAACCGAAAGAGGAGAAGGAGGAGTCTAAAGAATCCGATCCTAAGCTCGAAAGTGGTGATCAGCTAAAGTCGCCGCGAAAGAAACCTAAAATGGAACCGTGCGACGAAGTAGATTTAAAGTCTATGTCCCCGACCGCCATCAAGGAGATGATCCTCGGTGCTAAGCCAGAGAAAAAGGAAGTGACGGTTACTAGTACCTTTACCACAACCACGACGGTTACGACTAGTACCACAGCGGTGGACGGCGTGGTTAAGAGCGTGTCTGAAAGCGAAGACATAATAGATACCGTTACGGTGTGTTCTTCCATTAACGGCACTAGCAGCCAAACTATAAAGACCCTTAACGCTAGATCTGCTGGGTACAGCGCCCAGCAGAACCGACGATTCTGCGCCTACAAGCTCGGGGTGAAGCGCGAGGAGAAAACTATCAAGGCCGAACATGCCGAAGACGGCACAGAACGGGTGTACACGACCATGTCGACCGAAGGAAAGGTGATTCTGAAGAGGGTGCCGACGACACTGGAGCTCAAACGTAAACGCAGGCAAGTGGTCAAGTATCCTGCTTGCTCGACCTTCCGTTCCAGGAACAACCGTTCTTCTCTCTTGGTCCTGCCCAGACACGAAACCAGAAAGTTGGCGAGGAACGCCGGTAGGATCCACATTAACGGGTTCCACGCCTTGGCCAAGGCGAACAACAGCGTGTGGCCGTACCCGTGCTCCAGGCCGCTGTTCAAAACGTGCTGGATTTATAGAACGGTTAATTTGAAGTCGTTGGCGAACGCGGCGCTTCAGTTGAAGATACTTTGGGCTTGTTTGAGGTGGGATGATATGCAGACCAAACCGCCGAACGCCGACGGAAAGCATCAGATAACGACGGAGACGGAGATTCTGTCTTTGGAGTTGCTGAAGCATAGGCATATCGGGCAGTTCATGGAGAGGACACAGTATCTTAGGCGGAAAGTTGTCATACCTTTGGAATTACCAAAAACTGTTAGAGGTGAGTAGGAATGTTTTTTACATGTAATATAATTTTGGATGATATACTAACGGGTGATTTTTTAAGAGGTATAGGATTTGATTTTCAAAACAACACAAAAAATTTGAAATGTTGTCCGCGTCTTCGCTTTAGATGGCCCATGTGCAAGGTCCAATTTTGGCACACTCGTAACATATCGACCGGTATTTCACGTATAAATGCTTCAATATTGGCTTCCAGAGCGTCAGTCGTTGCTGGTTTATCCCTGTAGACATAAGCCTTAACAAAGGCGTTAAATCACACGATCTATGCGGCCAATTGACGGCCACCAAACGTGAGATAAACTGTTCACCGAAGGCAGCTCTTAATTGGGCCATTGTTTTGGGTGCTGTGTGGCATGTGGCACCGTCTTGTTGAAACCACATGTCAGGTATGTCCAATTCTTCCATTTTGGGCAACAAAAAGTCGTCAATCGTCACACGGTAGCGCTCGCCATTCACAGTAACGTTCCGGCCATTGTCGTCTTTGAAGAAGTACAGCCCGATGATGCCACCGACCCGTAATCCACACCATACAGTGACTTTTTCGGGATGCACCAGTAGCTCTTGCAATGCTTGTAGCTGGTCTTNAAAACTAAATAATTTCCGAGGCACCCTTACTTTAAAACGTCTTGTCAACTTGTTTTGTATGTTACATTAGTTGTCAGTATTTTAATTTAACTTTGAAGTTCGTTAACTTCAAGGCTGACAAATGGTTAGATTAACGGAAATGCATAAAATAGGTACGGAGATAAAACCCGAACGCAATAGTAAGTAGCTCGCCTATTTCATGAGAAATTTCCCAATTTACCGCCCACATATCAAGGAACAATAAGCAACCTAGAGAAGCAGATTCGTGAGCTTGGTCAAGTGCAGATAATAAAAGCAGTTGCCAATGCAATGAGTGATGACCTCAAATTCGATGTGATGCTTGAATTTGAGGAAAACCCATATACATCGAGTAGACAGGCATTCAATGTTATCCATACATTAATAATAATATGCTTTATTACCATAAGACATGATCTTGTAGACAAAGCTTGGATAGTAAATACTTGAAAAAAATGCAATACATACTAAATGAAATAAAAATGGGTACATGGGTACAAACTTTGTTGAAATGGAGGATATAAAAGATATGTTTATATAAAAGAGTAAAATTCAAGTTTATAAAAAAAAAGAAAATACTCAGGAGCTTAACGGTTATGCTAATCGGCAAAATTGCCGCTACTGGTCAACGGAAATTCCTCACTGGATGAGAGAAGAACACACACAATACTCTCAAGAGGTTAATGTTTGGGCAGGGATTGTAGGAAACCATATTATTAGTTCCTTTTTCATTGAGGGTAACTTGAATGGCGATAATTGTTTGGCACTACTTCAAAATGATGTCATTCCAAGTTTAGCAAATTTATATCCTGATCCAGGAAATCCTCGAGTTACAATGAATATGATATGGTTTCATCGGGATGGAGCACCACCACATTACCAGGTTAATGTCCGGCAATACCTCGATACAACATTTCCCAATCGGTGGATAGGGAGGCGAGGATCGATTGAATGGCCGGTGCGATCACCTGATCTTTCATCATCAGATTTCTTTTTATGGGGGATATGTAAAGAGCAATGTGTACAAAACTAAACCTTCAGATTTGAATGACTTGATAGAACGATTAACGCTTGCGATTAGGTCGGTCACGCCTGATATGTTAAATAATGTTGTAAGACAGTTTTATTTGAGATAAGGATGTTATCAAGACGTTCGCGGTGAACATTTTGAAGATCCACTTCGTTAACATCCATTGTTCTTTTTCGTATAATTTACATTTGACGTGTTCCGGTTTTTTTTTTTTAATATGTACAGTAACCGAAATAATGAATTTATTCCATTTGGCTTTTTGAAATCTTGTTATGAGTCATGGAGATATTCCTAAATATAAATTAATTTGAAACTATTTGGTATATGTTAGTCTAAACATATGCCATATGTTAATAGAAAGTTTCGATAGGTGTTCCTTAGAACAATTTGTGGATTACACATTTTGTTGAAGTTGACGTAGATCTGAACTTTTTTAAATAAACACTAGGTTTTTGGGAATTGAACTTTCAAAACTATTTACCTTTGAAAAATGGGACTGAAATGATTGAAAAAATGAAATTGCCTGTGCGAAAGTAGCGATTCACATTTGATTTGAATCACTACTTTCGCAATCCACATAAACGCAGAACTGTTTCATTTGGAAAACTGCGTTTATGTGGAATGAACTTCCTGGGAACGTTTTTCCGAATGGATTTAGTCTTCAGCGATTCAAATCAATTTCTACTTTCGCACAGGCACCGCTGTTAGAGCGCCTTAAGGATTGTACTGCAGTGCTTGTGTTTTGTCCTTGAAAAATTTCACATTAGACGTTTCTGGCGAATCTGTATGTCTGTTCGTTTGAAATCTGTCTTTCCGTTTGTCGCGCTAAGGATTAACGAGGTCTTACCGTTTAACGTGTGGTTCCAGACAACTGATCACTTTTGAAATTTAATAGAGGGCATATTCGGACATTCTCTACCCAACTAGAATATTTTCTATTGAAAACAATTTTCCAACACCTGAACAAAAATACGGTCTCTCGGCGCGCGTTTCGTTAACCAAGGTAGCGTCCTCAGGAAATCAATATGACCTGGGGACTATCAAGTTGAATATTTTTAAAGATGCAGTGTTACCACTTCCATTAGAAAGTAGTAGCAACTTTGATTTTTCAAATTGAACACCCTGTACATAATATTATTTTTAGAGTCAACAACAATTGCCAAAAATAATATTATATACAGGGTGTTCCATTTGAAAAATAAAAGTTGCTACTACATTCTAATGGAAGTGGCAGTAATATAGCTAGGAGAGTTCCAGTCCAAAATCTCATGCTTTTTCTTACGGCGCTTCATTCTGGCGATTTTACGACCTTCGATCGGAACCTTGTGGAACACCCAACTCGAGGTAGGTGTGACGTAGTCGTTCCCACTCCTCAACTTTTGCCGTCATTCAATCGACCAATCAGAAGCTACCGCGCGTACAGCGGGAAATTCAAATCAGTAGATGAACAACACGAGTACGAGCCCACGTCAAGGTCGCATGTCGTTTATGTTCGATGCAGAGAAGGATGAATGAGTATCGGGGAGATTCAAAGAGCGTGAGCCCCCTTGGGACTCCGCAATTGGTCATCGGCAGTTGAGGAAATCCAATTAAATAAATGTATCGGTATGAGAATAGAACTCGGGTCATCGGCGTTGTAGGGCTTTCTCCTTAGCCTCGACAACAACTTGAGATGTTGGAAGTGATTGCAAATTGTTGATATTTATGGTGGTTGTTTTGTCGGCTGACATCGACGATTCAGATAGATGAATGAAAACAGAGGATGGGGTGAGTGTCGGAGAGATTTAAAGAGCGTGGTTGAATTATAAAAATAAAAGATGGAGATGAAAATATTGGAAGCGCGAAAGTTATATAGCTAGGAGAGTTCCAGTCCAAAATCCCATGCTTTTTCTTACGGTGCTTCATTCTGGCGATTTTACGACCTTCGATCGTAACCTTGTGGAACACCCAACTCGAGGTAGGTGTGACGTAGTCGTCCCCGCTCCTCCACTTTTGTCGTCATCCAGTCGACCAATCAGAAGCTACCGCGCGTACAGCGGGAAATTCAAATCAGTAGATGAACAACGCGGGTACGAGCCCACGTCAAGGTCGCATGTCGTTTATGTTCGATGCAGAGAAGGATGAATGAGTATCGGGGAGATTCAAAGAGCGTGAGCCCCCTTGGGACTCCGCAGTTGGACATCGGCAGTTGAGGAAATCCAAAAAAAAAATGTATCGGTATGGGAATCGAACTCGGGTCATCGACGTGGTAGGCTTTGTCCATAGCCTCGACAACAACTTGAGATGTTGGAAGTGATTGCAAATTGTTGATATTTATGGTGGTTGTTTTGTCGGCTGACATCGACGATTCAGATAGATGAATGAAAACAGAGGATGGGGTGAGTATCGGAGAGATTCAAAAAACGTGGTTGAATTATGAAAGGGGGACCCAAAAAAACGGGAATTTCGTCATAACTTCTTCATTTCTCCATATTTCAACACCAAATTTTGATCACCTTCAAAGTATTCGCCATTGACCACAACGCACTTCTCTGAACGATTCTTCCATTGTTCAAAACAGTTTTTAAATCCACTCAACGGGATGTCCTTTAAGCCTTCCATCGATTTTTGTTTCACCCCCCCCCCACAGTGGCAAAACGCTTTCCTTTCATATTCTTTTTGATTCTGGGGAACAAAAAGAAGTCACTGGGGGCTGGATCCGTTGAGTATAGTGATCCGTTGTCTGGTTCACCAGAAACTTGTAAAGTGCCACCCACCGTGAATAAGTCTGTATTTTGAGAAGTGAAACAAGAATCCTTCGGGTGTCGTACTGTTGATTTCGAGACATATGAAGCTTCATAGAGATTCTGCACCTTGCTGTCAGATTCCGACCCGTCCCTGTCTCGTCCCTATAAGTCACGGAACCCACCTAACAATGGCGTTTCCTGTGATCCCCTTCCCTTTGGCATGTCTGTCCACACCACTAACCGCTTGTGCATCCTGTTGTGATTTTTATCGCAGGGTGGAAAAGGCTAATCAGCAAGTTATAACTAGGAGCCGCACCGGCAACCTGCCTCCCAACAAGCTGTCTCTGGTCATCGAAAGTGCGTCCGACTCGAAGTTGGCGACTGTTACTGGCAAAGCGAGCGCCGAAGAGATCAAGGAGAAGATGGAGCAGCAGTTGAGGCTGCAGCGCGCCGCCCACCAACAGAAGCGGGCCGCTATGGAAGTGAAAAACGTTACGGTGAAGAGCGGCCCTTTGCTCGACATGATTGGGAGTACGGCACAAGGTAAGACGAGCTCTGTATTATAGTTTTATTGGTACGATAATGATGTAAACTTGAATTGAAAGGGGTGTATTTTTAGGAGGGATTATTTTTTGGGAAATGTTTTGGCTTTCTACTTCAACTTTATACGAAAAAAATGTGGGAATCTTTCGAAGAAAGCACTCGTTAAAAAAAAGTCGTTTTGAGGTTCAACTCTGTACACCTCACACTTGACTGTTCAAGAACTCTTCCATTTCGCTCCATGTCTTCGAAACAAAGCACCTTATCAAAGGACAAAATATCCTTAGAAGGATATAGTATAGAAATAGTCCTTTAAATTTTTGCCGCATGTTCAATGAACACCCTATATACATAAAAATTGTTGAATAAAATATACGGAAAAGTAATTGAATAAAATATACATACAATTTCACAAGGAAAGTGAACATAGAATGTGCATGAAATTATAAAAGTTCGAGCACTGAGATTGTGGCAACATATTCCTCCATACTATAAAAACTTTGTTTTAGAGAACCAGTTTCGCGAGCTTGATCATGTGGGGCAGACAAAAAAAGCAGCTGCCAATGCAATGAATGATGAACTCAAATTAGATGTGATGCTTGAGTTTGAGCTACTCGAGTAGACAAGCATCCACTACATTCAATGTTAGACATACATCGATAGTAAACATATTAAAAGAAAATAAAATGCATCCCTATAAAATGATACCTACTAGGGAGCTCATGGAAGACGATTTTGATGGAAGAACCTCATTTTTGTGAGTAAATGATGGACATGTTGGATAAAAATATCATCCAATTAGAAGACGTTATGTTTTCTGATGAGTGTACTTTGTCTCTTAACGGTCATGCTAATCGGCAACATTGCCGCTACTGGTCAACGGAAAATTCTCACTGTATGAGAAAAGAGCAAACGCAAAACCCTCAAAAGGTGCATGTTTGGGCAGGGATTGTAGGAAACCATATCATTGATCGTAATCATGCCTCAGCCACCGTATTCCCCAGATTTGGCCCCATGCGACTTTTAACTGTTTCCAAGATAGAAAGTACTGCGTTTTGCGACAATTATGGAGATAAAACGGAATCGCTGGGAGAGCTTAAGGACATACCAAGAAGTGCATATCAGAACCGATTCAAGGATTGTAAATAACGCTGACACAATTGTATTATATCTGAAGGGGGCTGCTTCGAAAGGGACATAAGATAAATTGATAAATGAATGAATAGGTTTTGAGAAAAATGAAAATTTACCTTAATTTTTCAACAGGCCTTTGTATTTCTTTCTTTTGATACTCAAAATATATGAATATGTGGTTACAAAATGATTATATCGAAACTTTTTATTCAAAGCTGCTACGGCTAGTTCTACTGTAACTACTACAAAACCTGCAACAAGTACTAATGCGTCATTACCTCCCATACAACCCAAAGGTAGGCCTTTGAATGTAACATCGCCTGGATGTGTTTTCAAGTTTACTTTTGTTAGCTGTTTCAGTTTCTGCATGTTGAATTTTTCATGTTTATTTTTGTTCTTATGTGTCTGGGGTAGCTGAGCCTAATTATTTCATTTGCTGATTTTTTCAAATGTTTAAATTTTGCAATCATGTTCCTTGTTGGTTTCTCAACTAGCTCATTGGAATACTCGACTTATTTTACAGTAACGACCACTGTCGATGGGATGAAAATTGTCAAGAATGTCATAATGCCGAGCCAAGCTGTGGTCGGTGGTAAAAACACGTTGACTTCCCTGCTGACTTCGAATAGCAACAAGTTGGCGGGGAGGCGAATTTTGATGACAAAGGGACCCGACGGAACCACCAGAGTCATCACCGGTACCGCGAATATTCTGCCCAAGAATCTTCCGACGACCCAGCAAAGTTTGATCAAGACACAAACGACGAGCGGACATCAAATTCAACAAACTGTTCAGGTTCAACAACCGAGTGAGTATAACTTTTTGATATGTTGATTTTTATCGTTCTCTTCACATCGACATTCATTTCAACTCAAATGATTGTTTTAATTTGAAAATTATAGCTAACTTTTTCAGTTTTCTAAACCTTTTATTACCTCTATCTGAGGTGAATTTCGATTTGGTATGTAGAATGGAAGCCTCTGGCATGAAATTATTCTACGGAACACGTTTCTCGCATGAAAACAAGTTAGCATCATTCTCTGATGATACTAACTTGTTGGCGAAACTCATGTCGGAGACAGTTTCACTTTGAATCACGTGGTGAGATAAACAAAATTACTATCAATAAGCGGCACACTTCATAATTGATCCAAAGATACAACATAAAGTTATTTCACTGGTTTTCTTTGCTTGCTATTACTGTCTTGTCGCGAATTAAACTGATAACTCAAGGCAACTTTACTTGTTCAAATAGCCAGTGCAAAGTTACTGGGATGTTGTTTTTTTCTTCAACTGTTGTCGTTATTACTCAGCTGCTTATGATATTTACTCAATAGTGATACGTTATTGCACCCATTACAATGCCGAGACTTGAGAGCTGACCCAGTATCTTACTTTTCCTCATTTAATGTTACGGAATATTCATACTCAAGGGTTAGTACTAGTCTTTGATTGAAAGTACGACATCTGTATTTATTCGGATTCGGTCAATAATCAAAAATACAAACCCTACTTTGCTTTTTTTTTACTTTATTTACTTTATTTTTCCTGAGACTTTTACAAACAAGGAAATCGTCACATACATAAGTGAAGATTGGAGTTGAAAAATATCAAGTGATAACATATAAAATATGGAATACATGTGAAATAGGGAATATACATATGCATGTGAAGTAAGGAATCAATGTCCGCCATTGAGGATGACGGCAGTGTTCCATGTAACTGAAATTGTACCTCTTTCATACGCTATATTGTGTAGGAATCCTGTGAACGATATCTGATTCTATTCCACAACGAATGTTTGAAATATAAAATGAATAGAGAAAAGCGTTTGAGTTGTTGATTGACTTTTTAAACTATCAATGAAAACAGTTTATTAGTTTACTGCAGCAATTTTCCATATCTTTATAGCTGATGTTTTTTTATTTGATTGTTTATGACATTTTGTTTGATAAACATCAATTGTCTGTTGCAATAAAAACATTCTTGGTCCAATTCCAAAGAGCTGTTTGATAAACGTTACTCACCAGATATGTGATTAAAAATCTTCGCCCCAATCATTTTCCAGTTGTCGTAGAGTTTTGAAACGTGTCTTGAGGAAAATTCTGACATCTGTCGAAGAAATTTGGGAATAAGAATGCAGAAGAGAACAGAGAGAATGATCGATTGAATGATTTTGCAATGGCATCTGTAATACCAGATTCAATTGATTTGTTCGTTTTGATTTCCTTTAAATTTTCCACGTGGTGGTTGGGAGTAGTACTTGTGAATAAGAATGCAGAAGAGAACAGAGAGAATGATCGATTGAATGATTTTGCAATGGCATCTGTAATACCAGATTCAATTGATTTGTTGGTTTTGATTTCCTTTGAATTTTCCACGTGATTCAACTGAAAAATTAGCATTTTTATTCCCAATACCCCAGAACATTTACGAACCATCTTCAGGAGATGAAGTAGACTAATATTTTTTTTTATTAATAGGAAAACACCCATTGAAAAATAACAGAATATAATATGGTTATTTCATCAGTTCGGACTTCCATTGTCTAATATAATATAAATTGATTTGAAAACCATGAAAGAAATTGAAAAGATTGACCGAAAAATAACAATTTTATTGAAGCAAAAAACTGAAATTACAAAGAAATAACATGCAAGCAACAACCAAAAAAAATTGAAGAGTTAATACAAGCTGAAAATTAAAAAATATCAACAAGAAATGAAACTAGAAATCAAAAGATTCCAAACAAAATTACGTCACGACGTTTCGATTGTTAGTATCCACAATCGCCTTCGGATGATAACTGGACATTCCCCTCTTCCCTCTCCCCGCTTCATTGGTTTTAGAGGGATATGATCGTCTGGCGAAAGTTGGTCGTTTTCCGCTTGATTAGAGGTTTCCATATGTTACGTATCTCTACGCTAGCTTGTCTGAATGCTTCGTTTGACAACATATATGCAGCTTCTCTGAATTTCCTCTTGAACCAGTGTTCTTATATTAGTTTAACCTAAATAAATAAAATACTACAACTGAAATAAACNTCAATGACCTCTTAGTTTCACCGATATATGATTTTTCGCACTCGCAGGGTATCCGGTAAATGCAATTCTTGCAATCGCGGTCCGCGTTTGGTGGCCTGGTTTTCGTGAGACTGCTACGGATAGTGTTCCCAGATCTGAAGCAGGTCCTGATGTTGTACTTGGACCCAATCCTTTCCGATAATCATCTAATGTAGGGAAGTACAAGTACTGGTTGTGGCGGCTTCTCTTCCGTGTGGAGCTCATGCTGTCTTCTACCTAAAGCCTGTTTTACCATCACTCTGTGGAGTGCCCGTTCCAAAATTGAAGGTCGACTCTTTTCAGTTGTATTGCTAATTACATATGCACTGCAAAAGAAATTTTGAAAGTGTTTAAAGAAGGTGAATTTTTCACTTCATTTGAGAGGTTATTGAAATCATTTAAGCCCTTGAAGAATAATGTTTTCATTGAGCTTACATTTCGTGTTCGAGCTATATGGATATTGTTCACGATTCTTGTGGGAGTGACTCTACGAGTGATTTATATATTATAACTCAATTGCAAACTTATTAAAAAAACTTTTCTCTAGATAATGAAAAAAACTTCATTTCCCTATCGTATATAATAGTCGAAATATATCAATTTTATTAGAGAAAACTGAAAATCTCAGTTTTTTCACATTGATATCAATATTTTTTTTCTCGACCAATGGAGAGTGTCGTAATTCTCCATCACACATGTAAAAATAATGGATTCAACATTATTTCAAGGTCTTATCAAGTTGTACTCTATGATTGGGTTACTCGATAACTAGAAGGCTTTTCGCAAGGAATCTGCTAAACTAAAACTGGTAAAACTGAAATTGGTCTATAATTCGTCATTTGATCTTTTTTACCTGCATTAAATAATGGTTTTACTTTGGCAATTTTAGCATTATTAGGAAAAACTACAATCCGCTTTTTTAGCCGAAACGATAAGCGAAAACGGTAAGATCCACAAGGTTGGTTGAATTGGACAATAGATTGTTATTTCGACAACTAAAATAATATCTTCTCAGATAATCGTGAATATCAATGGTTGTTTTCGAAATATTCGCCAAAAACTAGAACTGTCGAATTTCGTGTCTTGGTTCTACCGCCTCCGTTAATGCCAATTTAATTAGAAATTGCACACGTTTAAAATGAATTGGCACAACTGTAGATTTAATAGAGATTCGTGGTATTAATATATTATCACCTCGGAACTTGTCATTTTAAAATGCTGGCTTCGGCAGCGTTTTTCATTCATTTTTTTAATGAATAATCGTGTGCCGTTGCACAGCCGTGGTGGATTCAAATTACGGAGCGATCCAACCTTCGATTGTAAATTATGCGGTGACATGCCTGGCAAATCCAATGAGTTCAAAAACTCTTTTGGATAATTCATAGTTTCGGTGGCATCGCAAAACTGTATCTACGCTCGATGGATAAACAATAATAGTGGCCAAAAACTATGTAGGGAGTGCGAGAAAGCTTATTGTGTGAGAGAGAGAGACGGGAGACCGGCTTCGATCTCATCCCTACTCGGTGCTATTCACTGAGTGAGAAGTGAACTGGTAGACGCCTTGCGGGAATACCTGACCTATGATCAGGGTTTTATTATAAAAATTATTCTACATTCGAAGCAGTGCTGGAAGTCTTCTTTGGTGAAGGCCCTTAGGAGTTCTGCCGTTTTTTGCTTTACCGCTTCCATCGACTCAAAAAAAAGTCGCATGGTGCCAAATCTGGCGAGTACGGCGCATGTTCGAGCACTAAAGTGCGTTTATCGGTCAAATTTCACAGCTAGCGCGTTATAGGCAGGTGCGTTGTCCTGGTGCAAAATCCACGAATTATTCTTCAACAACTCGGGCCGTTTCTTACGAACTCGTTCTCGCACTGTTGCCAAAACTGACAAATAGTAAGTCTGGTTGACAGTCTGACCCTCTGGAACCCATTCAATCATCACGATACCGTTAATGTCGAAAAAAATAATCAACATTGCCTTGAATTTTGATTTGGACATCCTTGCTTTTTTTATTCTGGGCGATTTAGGCGTCTTCCAATGAATGCATCGATTGACGCTTTGTTTCAATATTGTATTGAAAAATCCACGTTTCGTCGCAAGTAATAATGTTTCTCATCAGTCCGGGATCTTCTAGTAACCTTTCAAGAAAATCTGAGCAGACTTGTTGACGCAAGAGCTTTTGGTCAGGAGTCAAGTTTTTTGGCATCAACTTCGCACATACTTTTTTCATGTGAAATTCCTCGTGTAAATTTTTTTTAACCGTTTCTTTATCGGCGTTTACAGCCTCGGCAATCATCCGGGCAATCATCCGGCAGATTTGCAGATGACACCACTTTATTGTGGCGTGGAAAGGATTTGGTTTCCTTGAAGAGTACCATTAAAGCTAATTTAGAAAAAATTAAGTATTGGTGTGACTCAAACTCACTATGTTTTAACTTCAGCAAAACTAACATTCTATCATTTAAATTCGTGCATGGAAATTTCTGCCTTCAAACTCATATGATAGAAAATAAACAATCTGCTAAATTCTTGGGAATTTGGATTGATAACTTTCTGAAATTTGAAGATCATATAAAATATCTGAACAAAAAACTTTCATCTAGCTGTTATGCCATTAGAGTTATCACTAAAGAACTGGGAGCAACTGCTGGTAAAACTGCGTACTACGCTTTAATCGAATCTCACTTGAGATATGGTGTCGCCTTCTGGGGGTTTTGTAGCAAACAGTTACTACAGTCTGTTTTCGTTTTGCAAAAAAGAGCAGTGAAATTCATCTACAAAGCCAATATTAGGGACCATTGCAAACCCCTATTTATCAATAATAAATTACTGACTGTACACTGCATTTTTATCTTGGAAACAGTAAGTCTCATATTTAAAAGNTTTTTTTTTCTATCATATCATCATTTTTGTTATTTATGTCATTTATTTATATATTTTTAAAATAATGTATGTATATTAGGATGTCCTAAAAGAAATCAATATTATTATTATAAGTAATAGTTTAATCGACAGTATCTATCATTTATATAAAATTAGAGTTTTTTTGTTATCACATAATCATGTATTGAAACATTTTGTGCAGCAACATCTGCCATCTCCACATCTCATCAACAACCCTCCAAAGAAATTCCTCAACGCGTTCAGATAATGCGTACACCTGACGGCCGTTTCACCGTCAAGGGTCTCCAACCGGGTCAGCAGCTCGTTCAGTTTCCGGACGGTAAACTTCAGGTTTTCACAACGGCTCAACTCCAATCGTCGGGTCTCGCAACAACTCCCAAACCTCTGGGCACCACTACCACCCCGAAGGCTATACTTAAACAGGCTATACATACTTCCGCAGGTAAAGTTACGGCTCAGAGCAGTCCGATGAAAGCTGTTGTGGCCCAACCGTCGGTGCAGCAACAAAATTCCGTCAAGCAGCAGGTGCTGGTGAAACAAGGTTCGCCGGTCGTTCAGAAGATCTCGCAGGGTAGTTCGGTGGTCACTTCTGGAGCGCCGATAATGCAACAGCAAGTAGTGCTTGGCACCAATCAAGTCATCACCACTAATCAGAACGGTCAGCAGGTGAGTGTCGGTTTTTTGATATTATTGACATTCATTTTATTGGCATTATTTACGTATTCTAAAAACACTTCATTGTTTGATTTTTGCTAGACAGTTTTACAAAAACGCAACACGTGTTTCGCCATACAATGGCTTCCTCGGGCGTCTCTTAATAACTAATTCTACACATTCAATGCTATATATACCATATTCTACAATTTGAAGTACCTGAATTTCAAGTACCTGATTTTTTACCTATGTTTGTAATGAATTAAATTACCTGAGCTTATGTTCCATTTTCCACACTTGAAAAAATATTCAATAACGGAGAGTTATTTAATTCTAATTGATCATTCAGTAATTTACCTGAATTCCTGAATCTATTGATTTGTAAACATTCTAGAAGATTGAGTTTCAAACTCTTCTCTTCTAAATGTAACACATCGTATTCATGATT